ATGCTAATTGCACCCCTCTTTAGTGGGAACTTATTTCAGTTTAATAAGTGGATAACATAGGTATGTGTGAGAAGAAAAAGGGTAGCTTTCTGTGCTCTCTTCTGTATGTTACTTATTTTCTGTTTAAGAATAAAAAAGTATGTCGGCAATATCATATCTATCTGATAACACTTTTTCATAAATACACTTATTATTCAATACTTTCGTAATATATATTGTAAGATTATATAGTCATCATTTTTCAGAATTGTCAGCCTTTTTAGAAGGTTGACCAACCCACTTTTAAATGATTTTTAAGATAATTACGTTATAAAATTTAACATGTTTTTATCTTATACTAAAATTTATGATTAAAAAAAAATAGCAAATACATTTATATTGTCGGTGCACTTTTTCAGATATTTATAAATCATTTAATTCAATTTGTCTGACATTGGTAATGTGAATTTATAATACATTTTTTATATTTTAAAATTTTAATGTGTAATGCAATTTTTTTTTAGTTTTAGATAATTCTAATTTAATGTTTGACCAATTCAATGAGGATATCCAGTACGGTAATCTGGACCACACCGCATAAATTTTATTTCTACTTCTACTCTGTAAACCAACCACTTTTTCATTTTCTATATTCAATAATTTAATTTATATTTAAAATTAAACAATGTAATTTTATTTGAACTAAATAATTTAATTTAAATATAGTATTACTATTCAAGGTTGTTACATGAACCTAGGAAGAGAACAATGACGTTTAGTGTAAGGTTTTTCAGCGAGAAGATTTGTTACGATTTGGTAACAATGTGGCGTGAATAAATGTATATAATAATTTAGTACACTATTTTTAATCGAAATATATTATTCATTTTATTTACTTTTGTTTAATGTACAATTTTCAACTAATGTTGAACTTTTAATAATCTTCTTAAGTATGGGTTGTATTCATCTCAAAAATCTTTTTCTTATTTCTCTTTTATTGGAAGTTCTACATGAATTAGAAAAGGATTATTACAAATACAAAAATTTAATTGAAGCAAATAAAGATTAGGAAGTTAATTAGATAATTCAAACAAGTATAAAAATTTAAGCCTAAAATAAATAAATAAAATAAAAAAGTCTTTAATTAAGCAACAGCAGTGGAAAACTATCTTACAAAATCAAATATAAATCAATTATGTTTTTGCCAATATTTTTCGTTTGTTTTTATCTCCGTTTTAGATTAAGATAACCACAATATAGTTTATGTGAACTTAATCAACATAATAGATAATAATATATTCTTTTTATGAACATGATGATTAGGATTCAACTTTTTTTATTGTGTATGGACAAGCCTTTAATAAAGAAAACATAAACTATACTTTTCCTATCCCCTATTATTTGAAAAACAAGTCGTTGGCAATACAACAAAAATATAAATTAACATTTCAACTATAAGGTACAATTTTTTAATGTAAACTTTTGAGAAGAGTCAAAACACACAATTATAACATGCTTGTGTTAAAGTTCATCGTATATTCACACATTAAAGATCATATCTTTTAAAGCATTGGTGGGTTATAAATATTAACCCTAAAACTTGGAACTCATGTGAATCAACTCACATAAACTTAATTTTGGACTCAGCCCTAAAACTTTTCACATTATAGGATCCACCTGTGATTAAAGCACATGTATCTAACTATAATGATAACTAAATTAAAATGATTATGACTCTATAGGGCCAAGGTGTATTATTTCTCTCAAATCAAAACCATTATGACTCTGCTCCGATNAAATAAATGTTGTACTTAATGTTTATTAATAATAAAAATGCCTTATTTTATTGAATTAAATATTAAAATGAATCCAGTTTTATAAAGATACACCTAAAATCTTTAAAATGGTGAGTCTACTATTCAGTTTATTTGGAAAGAAAATCCTCACTAAATTTAGATAAAATTGACCATGTATCTCCAAAAATTTCAGACCTTGATATTGGGAAAAGGGGAGGAGATTTTTACTTTTGGACCACTCACATTAACTTTTATAAAGTTTTATTCTTCTTGGAATAAATAATGAACTTCTAGATGAGATATTGGTTTTCTAAAATTGAAGAAAATTTGCACAACTTTTCTTTTCTCCTCTTTATTGACTCTCTATAAGCTAAGTAGGTTCTCTTTCTTTCTGAAGCATGTGTTAGTTTTACCATTCAAACCTTCTGTGAACTAAATTATTTTATCAAAGCAAATTTTATATACTTCTCCACTCCATCATGAATCACGAATTTCTCCTTTATTTTAGTATAAACTATTTCAATTCAATTTATTTGAATTGGAATATTTAATACCACTCACTTAATTATAATCTTTCTTTTCAATTTCTAAAAAATAATAATTTTTTAATTTAAATCTAAATAAATTTCACTCCAAAATAATATTAGACACCTATAAACTTACATCTATTTTTTTTAAATAATTTATTTTTATAATATTCTCAATTTGAAATACAAAAAACAATTTCAATATATCACGAAATTGTATATACTATGAGTTTCAAGTAATGGAAATTAGACACTCAATGTTGTCATCGAGATCGTCAACTCGTGCACAAATTTGCATCATAAGCCAAAATTAATCGATGCAAACGAAATTTAATCAGTACAAATAAAATTTAATCGGTGCAAAATTAATTGGAAGAAAATCAATCAAACATACCTTGCAACAACAATGACAAACGTGAACAAAACAAAAATGCGAAAGAAAGTGAGCTCATGTTCTGAGCTTTTGGGGTTTAAAAGAGCATTTGACATCGGCCCTCATCCACCATTGACGTCTAATTGCTAAAAAATTCCATTTTAGCGCTTCTTTTGGGGTATTTTGACGTCTAGGGAAGGGGATCCGACGTCTAATATCTGAAAAAAAAAGTGACATTTCAATTCTAATTTTACAGCTTTTGGCAAAGGATTTGACGTTTGGTTTGGGAGACCGATGTCTATATCGTAAAAAATTTAATATTAACACTTAAAATGAGGTATTTTCAAACTTTTTTGACGTTGATGGAGGGAAGACTCAATGTCTAATTTGAGTTAGACGTTAGGGACTTCTAACTCTGTCTAAAGGTAATAAAACAATGACTTTTTAGTTTTGTATGGAGATCATTTGACGGTATAACTTAAAAGAACTAATTTCTATATTTTATTTGATATCAAGACTTTGAAGAAACTGACATCTATAGTAACGATTTATTTACAAAAGTATCACAAATATTTTTTAGGTTGGATTTTTTTCGTTAGACATCAAACTTGTAGAAAGTATGGTTTGTAGAGAAATAAAAGGAATGAAAATGAAAAAAACAAATAAATCCATAAATAAAAAGGTCATAGATATTTGATACGATAAATTGTGTAATTATTTTTGTAGTAGAGAAGTAGCTATTTTTGTTGAGTAGTAACCATAATGAGGTTTTGCAGAGACATGTGGGTTTGGTCACAGTTGCTCGGACAAAGGAGCCTGCTATGCATATGCTATTTATTTACTATGTGACCAACCACACAATAAGTGCGTGTGTCCCTCACTCCTCCATTATAAAACCACCCTTTCTTCTTTCAATTTCCAACAAACTTTTACTGTCTCTCTTCATTACTTCTCTAACTCTGTTCTGTCACTTTAACCACAAAATTAATCAAGAGATGGCTCTGGGAAGAGGCAGTGCAGTAGTGCTATCACTCTCTCTCTGTTTCTTCCTGCTTCACTCTCACATGGCTCATGCTGCCACCTACACAGTCGGTGGTAACGGTTGGACCTTCAACACTGTTGGCTGGCCCAATGGCAAACGCTTTAGGGCTGGTGACACACTTGGTTCGTTTCCTACCTTTCAGACACTTTTTTCATAAAGATGTCTGAAACATGAAGCACCGACAACTTTTCTGCATGTTTTTTTTTTCCGTTGCACAAGTTCTGGTTTTTTCCTAAGTTTGTTAAAAACATTTTCGTGTGTGGTTTGCAGTGTTCAAATATGCCCCCGGAGCTCATAATGTGGTGGCGGTAAACAGGGCTGGGTATAGTGCTTGCTCGACTCCAAGAGGGTCGAAAGTGTATCGTTCAGGGAATGATCAGATCAGACTTGCTAAGGGACAGAACTTCTTCATCTGCAACTTTGTGGGTCACTGTGAATCTGGGATGAAAATTGCCGTCAATGCTGTTTGAGTTTGTGTTCATCACTTTCGATAACTATATATATATCTCAGTGCTTTCCTACTCATACGTATTGTAATGCTAATTGCACCCCTCTTTAGTGGGAACTTATTTCAGTTTAATAAGTGGATAACATAGGTATGTGTGAGAAGAAAAAGGGTAGCTTTCTGTGCTCTCTTCTGTATGTTACTTATTTTCTGTTTAAGAATAAAAAAGTATGTCGGCAATATCATATCTATCTGATAACACTTTTTCATAAATACACTTATTATTCAATACTTTCGTAATATATATTGTAAGATTATATAGTCATCATTTTTCAGAATTGTCAGCCTTTTTAGAAGGTTGACCAACCCACTTTTAAATGATTTTTAAGATAATTACGTTATAAAATTTAACATGTTTTTATCTTATACTAAAATTTATGATTAAAAAAAAATAGCAAATACATTTATATTGTCGGTGCACTTTTTCAGATATTTATAAATCATTTAATTCAATTTGTCTGACATTGGTAATGTGAATTTATAATACATTTTTTATATTTTAAAATTTTAATGTGTAATGCAATTTTTTTTTAGTTTTAGATAATTCTAATTTAATGTTTGACCAATTCAATGAGGATATCCAGTACGGTAATCTGGACCACACCGCATAAATTTTATTTCTACTTCTACTCTGTAAACCAACCACTTTTTCATTTTCTATATTCAATAATTTAATTTATATTTAAAATTAAACAATGTAATTTTATTTGAACTAAATAATTTAATTTAAATATAGTATTACTATTCAAGGTTGTTACATGAACCTAGGAAGAGAACAATGACGTTTAGTGTAAGGTTTTTCAGCGAGAAGATTTGTTACGATTTGGTAACAATGTGGCGTGAATAAATGTATATAATAATTTAGTACACTATTTTTAATCGAAATATATTATTCATTTTATTTACTTTTGTTTAATGTACAATTTTCAACTAATGTTGAACTTTTAATAATCTTCTTAAGTATGGGTTGTATTCATCTCAAAAATCTTTTTCTTATTTCTCTTTTATTGGAAGTTCTACATGAATTAGAAAAGGATTATTACAAATACAAAAATTTAATTGAAGCAAATAAAGATTAGGAAGTTAATTAGATAATTCAAACAAGTATAAAAATTTAAGCCTAAAATAAATAAATAAAATAAAAAAGTCTTTAATTAAGCAACAGCAGTGGAAAACTATCTTACAAAATCAAATATAAATCAATTATGTTTTTGCCAATATTTTTCGTTTGTTTTTATCTCCGTTTTAGATTAAGATAACCACAATATAGTTTATGTGAACTTAATCAACATAATAGATAATAATATATTCTTTTTATGAACATGATGATTAGGATTCAACTTTTTTTATTGTGTATGGACAAGCCTTTAATAAAGAAAACATAAACTATACTTTTCCTATCCCCTATTATTTGAAAAACAAGTCGTTGGCAATACAACAAAAATATAAATTAACATTTCAACTATAAGGTACAATTTTTTAATGTAAACTTTTGAGAAGAGTCAAAACACACAATTATAACATGCTTGTGTTAAAGTTCATCGTATATTCACACATTAAAGATCATATCTTTTAAAGCATTGGTGGGTTATAAATATTAACCCTAAAACTTGGAACTCATGTGAATCAACTCACATAAACTTAATTTTGGACTCAGCCCTAAAACTTTTCACATTATAGGATCCACCTGTGATTAAAGCACATGTATCTAACTATAATGATAACTAAATTAAAATGATTATGACTCTATAGGGCCAAGGTGTATTATTTCTCTCAAATCAAAACCATTATGACTCTGCTCCGATCCATGTTCTTGAGTCATCATTTTGAACCATAATAAAGGCCCCAGCATTTCTCAACCACCCCATTACCAATTTCCATCATCTTTTGCTATAAAAACATAAACTTTTCTTACTAACATCATCTTTGGCTATAAAAACATGAACTTTTTTCTTACTATAACAACAAAGTGTTTTTCTTTCTTAATCTTTTGTATTGCAGTTAAAAGCATGGCCCTGGGAAGAGGCAATGTAATTGTTGTTCTAACACTGTCATTTTGGTTCAGTCAGTCACCTACACAGTTCGAGATGCAAATGGTTGGACCTTTAACACTGTTGCTTGGCCTAAAGGGAAACGATTACACTTGGTTAGTTTCTTTGGATCTTAATTTTTATTCATATTTTATAAAGAAAGCTCGAGAGATTAATTTAAGAACTTAATAGGAAGGGTTTGACTAACCAGTCTACTTAAGACACTAATTATATATCTCCGTTAAACCAAACTAGTTGCTTCAATTATTGCACACTGATAAAGTTAACGTAACATATATCTAGTAATTTATCATGTCATTGAATTTATTTGTGTGATATGAGTTACTGATGTGACAAATTTAACTTATTCAAAAGATTATATATAGCAGTTGAAAATCATGTTAAAAAACTACCAAATTGGCGATGGTTGAATATCGTAACTATCAGAAGTTTAAATAAGTTAAAAGTAAAGTAAAAATGATTTTTTTTGAATGAGTACATATAAGAAAAGTTAATACTCAAAGACATTTAAAATTTTATATTAAAAAAGATTGAGAATTCTTATATGAACAGTTCATATTTAGAGATAATTAATCTCCTCAAGCTTATCCAAGTAAAACATTTAAATAGTGATATCAGAACTAATGAGTTATAATGATATTCAATCCGATGAAGACAAATATGTCATATTGTGATAAGACGCAATTTTAATTAAAATTAACATAAATAAATATGTTAAAATAAATGAATTCATGAGACGAATAAAAATTCAACTCATACTTATAAAGAAATTATTATCAATCTAAGTATGAGTTAAGAGTTTCATATTAAATAAAAGTAAGAAAAAAAAATAGACATCAAATTTTAAAATTTTATATTAAAAATAATGTTAATATATATCTTTATAATATCCCAACAAAAATTCCAACAATTAGTATTAATTAGTTATTTTTCAACATTGTAATATAGCTTATATCACATCATATATTCATTTACGAAGAGTTCTAAAGATAGAATTAAACAACTCAAACAAGAACTCTTGATGACAATATTACATTTTTACTAAAATGATATATACATATATATATGTATATACATATATATATGTATATACATATATATATATGTATATACATATATATATATTTGTATATATATATATATATATATATATATATATTTGTATGTATTGTAGTTTTCAAGTACAGCCCTGGGAGTGACAATGTGGTGGCTGTAAAGAAAGGTGGTTACAAGACATGCAAGACTCCAAATGGTGCCAAAACCTATAATTTAGGAACTGATCAAATCAAGCTTGTGAAGGGACCAAACTACTTCATCTGCAATTTCGTTGGTCACTGCGACTCTGCTACCAAAATTGCCATTAATGCTCTTTGAGTTAGCATTCCACAAAACTGCACTATCTTATGTGGTTTCAGTATTGTTTGTCCAATTAAAATGAGGTTTTACTTCACAACACAAGATAACAACTATTTAATGCTTTATATTTCACTTTTATCTTTTTTAATTTTCATCTTCTATTCCTTTTTTGATTTAGTTATCATTCCTCACTGCCGTTTGTTACTTACTTCTGTCTCTGATTTCATACAACCTTTATTGAATTATTGTCACACCTTGTTTTTTTTAATTTTTGCATTGAGCTAAGTTTGATAATAAATTTATCAATGTATCTATTTTCCTTAAAAATCGACTAATTTCTGTATCTATTAATTTGAAAAAACTATGTTATTAAATAATAATGACTTTTAAGATGCTTACTATAAAAATTAAAATATTTATTTAATTTATAATTGAATTACACAGCCTACACATTAATTATTTCCCACAAAAAATAGTTAAATTAAAGGCTCAAACAGTTTTGTCCAAATTTTTTAATTTCCTTGACGTTATTTTCTTTTTCTTGATGGAAAAAAATACTACCATATAATATTGGGAACCTTTACGTTTTTCCACCAAATTTATATATATAAAAAAATGAACATTTGCATTCATACAGAAGAAATAATTCAAAATACAATAAATTTTGACTAAAGCTTGATAATTAAAGCTAATTACAAGGTAAAGAATAAAAATACAATAATACAATTCATACAGACTGAATATTTGCAGAAAAACAAAGTTACACGAAAAACAATATAAGCTAATTAGTACATCCAACTTTAAATATCGAGAGAAGAATCAATGGGCCCAAATCCAAATAACTAGCATGATCTTCTTTACGGATATTTCTTAAACTGCACCTCCATACTTTCTTCATGCACCTCCATAAGCAAAATAAAAAGACAAATTTCCCCTCATATTCTTCCCTCCTCTCCGCCTCCACCCCATATTCTTGTAAAAGTTGTATTTCAAATTATATAATTTGAAATGCATTCTATACTTTCCATTCTAGTTTGTATAATCTATATTTTAAAACGTTTTCGAATTATTCACTCTTAAACTCAAAATAAAAAAGAATAAAATTAGAATTTTAATATGGAGAGACGTAAGAAGCACTCTTACATTTCATTGCATTAATAATCCAAGATTTTGTTTTCGGCACTCCAACAGTGACTTTTGCTTTCGAGAACTCTATAATTTCTTTTTACACCTACATTGACCAAACTAACCTCGTTAATAATATTTAAGAGAGTTTTTGTAACACAAGATTAATTGGCTCTTTCTAAAGATATTTCATGGTGTCGGTAATTTATAATCCTTGACTTGTTTTTCACATACATTCTCCTTTTTATTTGTGCACCCTTCTTTACATTTAATCGTAAAATTATGATTTAAATACCATGTTAATATTGTATTTGTTTACTTTGTTTGTTTGAAATGGTCCTTATTTTTGGAAAATATTCATTTTGATTCTTTAATGTGTAATTTTATGTTTAATTTGGTATTTTTTTTATGACATTGTTTACATTGTTAACGACATATTGTACACATTGATAGTATTTTCTTCCATGGCTCATTCAACACAGTGTACACATTGCTACATTATCATATTCGACCTCCCAACACATCAGAAACTCTAATCACCTTCATCAGTCACCACACATCTCCATTGCACATTGTCGGTGATGACCTATTTTCGTTCAAAACGCAAACCACACATGCATCTTCTTCCAAATCAGAGTCAAGTCTATTGCATCTTCTCAAATCAGGTTTCGACATTGTCATCCTTTGCTCGCTAGCATTCGAACTTCACTATAGTACTTAGAAGACACAAATTTTGAGCCAGGAAAAACCAACAAGACACAATCGCACCACAAGTCATGTGTGAAGCCTTGTTGGAGATGCAACCCACCATATCTCTACGCAAGAATCGCACCACCAAAACCCAAAATCGCAAAACATCTTTGTCCACCTCGACACACTAAAACCTTCACTGCGAGCATGAAAATAACAATCACCACACCTGAAACATCGTCGTTCACCATCAAAACCCTAATCACAGAAATTAATCCAGTGAGAATGAACCTAGAACCACCACATTTGCGTTTCTCTCTCGCGCGATGCCGCAAAACACTTGCAATACAATGTCGAAACAACCACAAAACCAAAAAAGCACCACCCTGAGCTTTAAAACTCTTCCACTTGAGTCCAAACAACTAGAACCCATGATGCAGATATGAAAAAATTGTTTTACCACGCAACAACCACCTGAAAGAGAAAAACCATACTAGAAAACACAATTCTAACAAGCAATAATGAATGATGACGGTGACAGTGAACAACGATATCAACAGTGGTGGCGAGGGTTCCTAATGTGTTGGGAGATTTAAGATGATGTTGGACAATCTACATAAGCTAATAACATTATCAACAATGTCTTGGGAGATTGAAGATGATGTTGGACAAGCCACATAAGCCAATATTGTTAACATGTATCATCTGCCGTTAGCAATTTAAACAGCATATAAGAAAAAAAGACCAAATTAAATGTAAAATTACATATTAGACTAGTACAAAAATCGCGTACAACGTCAAATATTTTGGGCTTTTAACGGCGACTTCGCGAATGACGTCATATTAGGAGATGTTAAATTGACGTCGAATTTAAAAAATTTGACGTTAAGTTAACATCGAATTTTGTCAATATACGACGTTGACTTAACATTGAATTTTGTTAATATACGACGTTAATCACATTTTTTGTTTTTTTAATTAATTGTGATACATTTTTACAACTCTACGAGACCTTAAAAGCAGAAAAACAACAAATTTCAGTTTTTGGTATTTTATAAAGCAAGAACTATGAACATAGTATTAAGGACAAACAACAATAACCAACAACAAACAAAAAAAAAAGTTCAATCAAACAACAACAACAACAAACAAGTTCAACCAAACAATAACAACAAACAAGTTCAACCAAACAATAACAAACAAGTTAAACAAATAAGTTCTTCAAAACGAAAACGAAAACTAACCTTCAAAAGGTGGGTTCGTTGGAATAAAGTGTCGTTACCGGTGACAGAGAAAACAGAATGCGCCTATGAAGGACAAAAGCACGAAAATAATCGGTCAAAACAAACGAAAATCATACATAAAATGCATTTGTATCAAATGAAAGAAAGATTACATGTGATGGTCATCAAACTTCGTTCGAGAAAAGTTTGAGAAGAGAAGAGGGTCTCGCGCGCTAAGATAAAGTGAATGAATTTTCAATCTCCTACTCAAATTTTTATTGAATTCACTAACATTTTGACGTCTAATGCTGAGACACGACGTTTAATAATTGCATTTATTTACAAAAATATCACTGGTCATTTTTAACGTTGACTATTCAGTGATTGGACGTTAAACGTGTGACGTTATACGATGTTTTTGCACTAGTGTTAAGAAACCAAAATGAGGATCATTTGAAATAGAGCAAACAAATACAAGAATAAAAAAAAGTATTTAAACTTAAAAGTATTTTGTATTAAACATAGGATAGTTAGTTTTTTTTATGTAAAAGGAAAAATAGTTTATGTATCACCAAAATAAAATAAAAATGTTTAAGGCTTAATACCCTATTTTGTCCCTAGTTTCGCTCGACAATATCAAATTAGTCCATCATTTAAAAAGGGCGTCAATTACGTCTTTACTTAATAAAATTTATATCAATGAAATCTCTTCCGTTAAATCCGTACAAACGGCGTTAATTATTTTTCTCTCTCTTCTATTAACGCCGTTTGTACGGATTTAACGGAAGGGATTTCATTGATATAAATTTTATTAAGTAAGGACGTAATTGACGCACTTTTTAAAGGATGGACTAATTTGACATTGTCGAACGAAACTGGGAACAAAATAGGGTATTAAGCCAATGTTTAAATATATTTCTACTCTTTTAAGTTGGGATATTTTTTTCTATTGATTTCATTGTAAAATATGAATTAATTAGTCTAGTGTATAATTTACTAAAAGAAATCAATAAATACTCAATTAAAGGGACTGCATAAAAGTCGTAGTCCATTTACAATCAAATCACGTTACGCTTAACATTAATCAAAGTCATTTCGAGCCAATTTCCTTTATGGAACAATTACCATAAGTAATTGACTGTAGCAATAAATTCATGTCGTTTTGGGACAGAAAATGGGATGTTTTTCTCTACCCTTTTTTGCAAACAATAAATTTTACGTTTTTTATTATTTTACCTAAAATTCCTTTTTAAAATAAAAAAATACTATATTTGTTTCCTCAACTATAGAACTGTTTTAAAGTTTAAAATAATATTAATTATTTTTTATGTTGATTATATTCTTAGTTTTAATAGTAAAATTTTTGAAAAGAAAAAGCGTATACAACACTATAAATGTTGTGGGTGTTTTTTTTATTTATATATATTAAAGAAAAAGTCTACATATAACTGATCAACTATACCTACGATATTTATAGTATTGTATATAATCTTTTTTTGTTCTTTTAAAATGTTCACCTAATTTTTAATTAATTTACACATATATGCTGCATTTATTGTAATTAGAAATAAAATAGAATCACACTATTTTATCTAGATCAGGAAAATTTATGCTACGTCTCAGTTTCTACATATTATAACAGAGTAGAACAAAGATAATAACTAAAGTCAAGCCATTTTAAAAGAAAAAAGTAATTGATAAAAGAAGGTAAAACTTTATATATATAAGGAAAAAATGTGAATTTTTTTTTCAGAAAAGGTAAGGATTAATAAAATAAAGTATAAATTTAAACAAAATCATGACTAGAGATAAGCTGAAAGTGTACTCTATGGTCATTTGAAAATTGCTACATAATATAAAATTCATGAACCTGTTAAGTGGGGACCAACTTAGAATATCTTTGAGAAGAAAATGGCCATTACATAATCAAGTAATCATTTTAAACTTTAACATAAGGAACTTCCTGCCATTAATTTCTTTCAGGCCTGACCCCAGTGTCCATCAAAATGAAAGATGAAGTTGGCCCCGCCAGAACAAATTAAATCATAATATGAAATGTAAAGTCATGCATATATGCAGGAAAAAACATCTAGGTAGGGTTCATAAATCTGTAATCATTATGGTAGTTGCATTGCCTTATTCTTTTGGTGTAAGTTGCACTGCAGTATATAATATTATAAATAGATAGATATAATGAGAAATAAAAACTGTTTATTTCTGGTTTGGAACACTGAACACTGATTCATTGTTGCATCATATGATGATGATATCTGTCAGCTCCAAAGGGCACTAATAGATTCCTCTCCCATTTACAAAGAATTGATGTAGCTGACATAATAAACCCTTTTGGTTGGTGGTGGTGGTTGGTGCTATGTGAGTGCATTATGTGGACAATTTAGGGCAGGAATTTGGTTTCCATTTGAAAACACTACAACTCATAATGGTGGCCTCAGAACAGCATTGCCAAGTCTAAATTAATCATACCCTAATGCTTCTAGGAATCCAATGCTGCAACTGCTACAAGGCTCTCACACTACCCAATGGAGTTTCAACCAGTGAAAGCGCATGGAAATATCCCACAACACTTTTTCAGTTTAGATCATTGAAAAGGTGCAACATTGCCATCAAAGCCAAGACAAAAGTTTAGGACACTAAAAAAAGGGGAAGTTAAATAAAACATTTACTTATTCACGTTCGAGTTCAGCTTAGGTGGTTGACTTTAGATAACACCAACCAAATAAAATAAAATAATATAATAGGTTATGATCAGTGAGTTGCTTCCACCCCCAAGATCCTCCTTTTGCTGGGAAAAATAAAAGCAAAAACTAAGTACCTTGTGTTCACCAAGCAGTGCTCTTGCTTCCTTGTAAAAACGTTACATGTTATAAAGAAGGAATCTGCAAAAATGTAAAATGGAAACTCATTAGGGTGAGACATATAAGAAGTTGCAGACTGCATATGCTGAGAACAAAGTTAAAGGAATCATGGCATGAGTGTATGAAAATTAACATGTGCATGATGTGGAAAACTATGATTATGCAGAACTCAGAAGAGATAATATGAAAGATAAGAGAGCTGAGGCCACAAAGGGTTTCTCAGAATAAGCAGATTCACATAGCTCGTTTGGTGTTCTGGCCACCTCCAGTTGTTACCAATCTTTAATGGAGGTGGACAGAATGCCAAACTGACTATAGAACAAGATTATGAGAAACCCTAGAGGCTATATAGAGCAAAAGGGAATGGAAATTCTGGGTGAGATTTGAGGATGATGAGATGAGAGACAGGTTTTGACTAAGCAATGAGGAAGAAATAGTTTTGTATGATGAGTTTTGAAATGGGAGTGGCCTTTTGTAGAAAGAAGGTATAGCATGCATGTAGTCGTGCTGTCTGTTGGAATATTTTGGGCTTTTGGTGCTTCTGTTGTTTTCAAAGACTTTCAATCTCTTGGTTTTTTCTACAGAAGTTTAATTGCTGCTATATATATCTGCTTAGGTGTTGTACATTTATGACAAAAATAATGTCTACTCTTTTTGAATTTAGACTTTTGAGCCCTTAGAGTGCAACATTCTTTGCTGCTAATTATATTTTGCAAATGGTTAATTCTTTGACATTGGTTGTTATGTCGCAATTTGCTTGCATTGTGATTTCACTATGCTTTTTTGACTTGCTTCCAAAGGAGGAAGCAAAATGGGCTGGCCATGTCCCCCACTCAGTTTCTAATTATTTAATTTATTTCTCACTTTGTCACACACTAAATTTTTACTATTTTTTGTATCATTTATGTTGTATTTTAAAAATATAATGTGTTCAGTATATATTTTGAAATATGTTAAAAACTTTTTTAGTATCCAATAAAAGAATATATATTCTTAACGTTGGTCAAGTTGAGATAATTAAGATGACAGTGATATATATCTCACTTGAGTTACAAAAATGTTCTTAATCAACTTTTGAGATTTATTACTTTAGAATATGCATTACTTTTCGATCTATCCATAATTTGTTTATTTACATATAATGAAAAATCCTAGAAACATGTTTAGAAAATGGAATAATCTAGAACTATATAGGTTAAAGTTTTTACTATTTGGCCAGATTTTGGAGTTTGAATGTCTGGACATAATGATAAGAAGTGTTCGGTTATATAAAATAAAATATCCACCATGGAAAGAGCATGCACATATTCAAAAGATATATTAATGTGAATCATTTAAATTTTGTTTTAGTTTTAAAATTGTCTAATAGTCATTTTTTCTATTACATAATCATGACACACACTTTTATGGAGTGTAAAACATTCTCATTCCTTTGAATCATATTCCTTTACGGCTAATTTTACTCGTTAAAAGGAAAAACTGAACAAGGTTTTTGTCTGAAATGGTGGTTCTAGTTTTGCACAAAAAATGTCTCATGGTTTTCAAAATAGATTGGTTATGAAAAACCCTAGAAACTGTCCAGCTCTTAATATTAATGGATGACAAATAAGATAGTTAGATCAATAAGGTTAATTATGATATCGATTTTCCATTAATTATGATATCTTAAACATTTTAAACCTTAAACAAGTTTTTTTATATAGTCACTTGACAAACATAAAAATTGAAATGGATTTATACATAAATTAAAACTAATTTATGTGTTACGTTATAAAAACTTCTATATAACTTTTTAAAAAATTTATGTTTAGCTTAAATAAAACTAAATATAATATAATACGAATAGAATGTGATCATTTTTCTTTTACATATTCCTTTTTTAATCTTCAATATAATATCAAATTGCAAGTCATATTTACTTTTAAAATAATTATTCATTCCTAAATTATTACTTTAAAATTGTATCACATTTTATTTAATTTAAGATACTTTCTTTAATATTTTTAAGTATTGGTAACTTATCGATTGCTTAATAATCTATTGTAGAGTTAAAGTCTCTATAAACTTTTAACATAAAATAGTAAAATACTTTAATACATGCACTAAAATAAAAAACGGTAAATAGTTTTAGTAAAAATTGTAAACTCATGATATATAGCTATTTAATTTTCTCATATATCAAAGAGGCTTATTAAATAGTTATAAAAACACTTATATTAACTCTTCATTTTTATAGCAGTTTTTTACTCTTAATAGAAAATTTAGCAAATATTGACTTGAGATCCATAATGTTGTACCAATTAATTGCATAAAGTTACAAATTTATCGTTTGGCTTTAATTCTAATATTGAATAAAAAATTACAGTTAAGTAGGTTCAGCAATTTGATATGGCTACTTAGAGAACAACCTTTTGGATCTTTTTCCAGTATTTCTTGAAACAACATTGAGCATTGTTCATTCTTTTTATGGAAGTAAGGGTTATAAACTGAAGTATATCACATAATGAAAGTGTTACCCTATGGAAGACAACAAAATGTGGTAACAGATCTTAGTTCATAAGGTTGCTTCCCCACCCATGTCTTTTTTTTTTTTCTCTTTTATTGCAGGTCCCATCCCATGATAAAAGATGGCTGATGTTCCATTTCATTAAATATTGCATTTCTTTTGAAGCCTGAATTAAAGAGAAAGGTATCTTCGTAAGTTTAACTCTGAGTATGCTGCTTTTGTATATGCAGATTAGCTTCACATACATCCATGAATATGCAAATTGAACTTTTTATAAATTAATTATATAAGTAATAGAAAAAAAAGTAAATAGTTGTCTTAACCTGTTCTAATTAAATTCTTGTTATATGGAAATGCCAGATATAGGAAGTTATAGCAATTTTATGTGGTTAATCTTTTGGATCTTTTTTCATTGTGGTACTCCTATTCCTATATGTGGCTTGAACCAACATTGAACATGGTTAATTCTTTCCAATGAAATCAGGGTTATAAATGGAACTTTTCTACAGGTTCAAAGTGTTATCTCAATGGAGACAACAAAATGTGACAGCAGATCGTAGTTCATAAGGTTGTTTCCCCACCCAATGCCCTTTTTCTCTCTTTTCTTTGTAACTGCAGGTATGATGAAAGATAAGTGAAGTTGAGGATGACAACGAATGGACATAATATTTATTTATTGGATATCAAATTTACAAAAACAAAATTTATTTTGTTATTTATTGGATATTCATTTAAAAAATATTCATAGATTTTTAAAATAGGGCAGATATCCATGTTATAGATATTTTAAAAAAATTATATTTTATAAATTTTTAAAATAAAATATAAAAAATTAAAAAATATATTTAATAAAAATTAAATTGAATTTTAATATTTTATGGATAACTTTAACTTGTTTATAACGGATATTATTGAAATCTGATTTAAAGATAAAGGTATCTTCCCGTTGAATTCTGATAAAGGTTCATTATATGCAACATGAGTTTAATTCATGTAAGGGATCAACACGAATTTTAACCAAACACATTGAGTTTATGTTATTTTTATTTAATACGAGAGTTAGACTAAGATTTATTTTCATATGCAAATAGTTCCACATGCATCCATGATCATGCAAATTCAACTTTTAAATCGTCTGATTGGTGTAGACAACTTCATTCAATTTTCCAGTTGATTTTTCTGTTACAACTCTAGTAAATTAGGTGCCTTCTATTTCAGTATTCTTACAAGAACTGTGTGTGTAACTAGTACTGAAAAAAGTGATAAGAAAATCCGAAGATTCAGGGAAGAAATTCTTTACATCATTCATGTGTTAATGCATGAGGAAACTTTCATGTGTTTAGGTGAAATAAATTACGTTGAGAAGCATATTCTATGTTTGTGCATATAGCTCAAAGAAAATCGATGAGCATAAGAAGTTGTTAAACTGAACCAGTTGATAGCAACAAAGAAAATTTCAACCAAAAGAATTGTTGTACAAAGAAAAGGCCTTCAATCACATAATTGGCTAAGGCATGATCCATAAAGTGAACATGTATGTCAATGGTAACATCAGGATCCACCAGCTCTGTGGTATGGCTTTGTAAGCTTTTGATCGATTACATACGGCCTGTTTGTCGTGATAGGAGCATGTCGTTTGATTCCTGCATTCAACAAGAGTAATCAAAAGAAATAGAGGCAATGATATGAGAAATATCTTGTATAATCCTAAGATGTGTTCCCATTTCTTGAAACATTTAACTTTCAAGACCAAACCTACCTTGATCCACAGAATACGACAACAAAGTCTGCTTTTGAACAGGTTATTAGACTTGTAGGGTCATCAAGTGCAAAACTATACGCTGCAGGGCACACTTGTTTGAAAATTTTGGAGTAGTTTGAAGGCAAACATGTTGCAGGGTTTCCATAAGTCCCTCTGCAGCAATACTCGTCAGTGTTGAAGACATCACACGCACTACGGCATCCAATAACTTTGTCAATGTCCTTTGAAGCCAAATCTGAGGGGCAATTCTGCCTCAAATCTCCATCACAACCAACAGTGCTGCAGTTTCCTGTGCCATTGATGGCTTTCACTACTATTGGTAAGTTGAAGCCATTCACAAGGCTAACATCATAGTAATCAAGTTCACCAAGGCTGAAGTCAGCACTTGTTGCAGGAGGGTTTCCAGGGCCAGTGCAGTTTATGCTGGTGCCACAGCCACCAGTATGGCACTTTCCATTGCCAACACTGTCAAAGTTGCAGCCTGTTCTGGCCCATATCCTCCCACTCCATCCATCAGGAGCAGTATAAACAGTTGATTGCCCTGCTTTCAATGTGAAGCCATCGCCACTGTGGTTGTCACTGCGTGTTACGCCAGGCCATATTGTTTCCTTGCAGTAATTTACCAAGGTGAATGTCTTGCTGCTTCCACAAAGTTCAGGTGCTGCCAACCAACAAATCAAAACACCAAGCATAAAAGTAAATTTCCATCCAAGAAAAAGCATAGAAGCTCCTTGTTTTAAGAGCTTATAATTTGGTTAAAATCTCCCTTATGGGAACTTAGTGTACTAATTTACTAGTTACCAACTGTGTTAGTGATGAACCAAGAAAACTATCTAATAGGAATTTCAATCTTTTTTTAGTGTATTGATCCAAATAGGAATATTGAAAGTTGGGAATAGAGGAAACTCTAAAAATAGGATAGCACAAACCTCAAGCGTGCAAAAAACAGACTTTTTGTGTTTTTCTTTATAAAGTGTTACTTCACAAAACAGACCTGTAATATGAGGTTTGTATCTACGTGTGTGTATTATGAATCTGCATTATGTAAGATTTTCAACCCATGTAGTAAAAGTAAATGTAAGTGATATAAGTGGAACTTCAATTGGAAAACATCATTAAAAACATTTCAGGAATAGTATTTAAGGTTTACACTATTTGCTTCACTAAGGTTGGAAACAGATAAAGCTTAAAGAAGGAAATACCTGAGGTGATGACAATGAAGATGGAGGTGAGTTTGAGCAGTGCAATGTGTGTATTAGCCATGCTCCTTCTCTGTCTCTTAGTTATGTGACATTTGATGTGGTGTGAAGGGTTGTTATTTAAGAGGACAGTGGAAGAATACGTGAGGAAGAGAGTTTGTGAACAATACTGACAGCCTAAACAAGCTTCCTTGCTTAATCAGACCAAAAATACCTTGCCCGCTTATGTCACACTGATATCTTAAAAACTCATGTTTTACACCTTTACGCACTTTTCACTAATCTTACAAGTCTTTCCTTTATTTAACATTTCTCTTGTTTTAAGAGAATCAAATTCACTTAGATATCTCATTTAGAGGATCATGTTTTAACTGACATGGTTGGTCAGATAAAAAATGGATTCTCAATCTCATATATGCGTGACTTTATTTTATCTTTTCCTTTTTCAAATGTTTCTTTAAAATTATGGGAAAATGGCACCACTTAAGATGAAGAACAATATATAACCTATATAATGCAGAATCGCAGAATAGACATGAAAAAATTAATAATGTCTTGCCCTGAGGGATGCTTGTTTCTCAAGTGCAAATAGGACCTTTTCTTCCTCTGAAAGGAACTTTTCCAGTTAGAACATAGAGTCTCAAAGCAAAGCATTGCAAAACTGTGCACGTCATGGATCTGTTTGTTGCTTCCTTAGGCCATGAATCTTTCTGTGGTCCATTCTATTTGAATGGGAAAGAGATTAAAGATGTTTGATCTCAGGTTCCAAAGCTTCAATTTCCAACAGAAATTGCCTTATCAAAGATTGTACTATCAGGAGGTGATTTTGATGTTTCTAAATTTCTCAAAAGGAAGTTTCTGTATTCTCTTACTTTGTTGAATTTGACACTTTGTCTCCATATTCTTTCATGTTCTTGTTGAAGTTCATAAGCCTCTTCCTTTGCATCTCATCTTCTCACTCACATTCTATAGCTCAATTATAAGGAATCCAATAAGAAAACTCTCAAGGACTGTTCTGGAACCTTCCATTTCCCTTTTTCTCTCCAAATTTTTTAAATCCTTCCATAACTTTGATTTTTATCTAAAACAATTCTTGTAAAGAAAGAGCAAGAAAAGGTTACAGTGATACCTCTATTTTATAATTTATTTATACATATCTAGAGCATCCATTTTTAGGTATAAACTGTAACATCACAAAAATACAGTATAAAATATATCATAAAATAATTAAAATTAATCATAATTCAGATCAGTCTTAAAATTTAAAAGAGCGTACGGTTCTTGGCCGAACGGCCTTTACAAAAAAGTTAAAATCTTAAAATGTACAAAATAAGCAAACATGACCGAACAGTTTACAAAATGAATTACCGATCGGTCAAATTACTCAAAGGGAAAGGTAACCACCTTACATTCAAACTAAACTACTGACCGAACGTCCTATTGTTCGGTCTTCACTTCTACTTCCACCAAATTTTCTTCTTCTAGAGCCTCTTCCAGCAGCTCGTCTCCTTCTGCTCACATCCACACGGATGATCATTGCAACGACAATGACGGACGTACAAAACGAGACAACACAGGAAACACAGGGTAAGCTTATGTAATTTAATTCAAGTATTACACATACATTTCACATATTCAGACACATCAAATACATTTCAACATACACTTCAAGCAAGGCCTATCACTAGACTGACTGTCCGGACGGTATGAATTCTGTGTAGCTACGACGTTCGTGCACCCGGGTGATGTAGTAACTGGAATACTCTCATCAGCTGCCACCCGAGGTTAGTCCGTTCCGTCCAAAGTACCCCTAAGGACTAGGACCTCCTGCCGTTCCCACACATGACCTACCCTCCTCTACGTGAGGACGAGTACTCACGGAACATCAAGATGAACCGCCAGCTAAGCTTTACCACATTCATACTTTACAATTTCAATAGTAATACATGAGTCGTTCCTCCACGGAACGCTCGTTCAAAAATCACAAAGTTTCCTTCATCTCATATACTCTTCATCATTTATTATCCATCATTTTACTTTCATCTTTATCATCAATATTAAGACCATCAAATACCGAACGTTCAGTCCTCACTAAGAACGAGGATGAACACTGTGGAGGAGACCAAGAAGTCGTCCGTTCCAGATCAGAATAATACCGAGAGAGTTACGATTAGGTTTTAGGAATAAACCGAGTATTATCATATTCTATATGACGAACGTTATTCACTACTTAAATCAGTTGAATGAACTGACTCTCGTGAGTTCAAACCAATACTCAAAGAATAAATCGAGGATGGAGGCTCTAGGCCGTATTCAATGAATGTAGACACGTCAAGACGTTAACGAGCCCTATTTAGAGTAATTCACTCACAGAAATCCAATGCCAGTAAATGACCGAAGTTGGAAAATTCTACTGAAGTTGGACGAATGCTATTTCACCAAGATTGATTATACAATGAGTACGAGCGCTTGGTATAAGACCGAGCACTACTCAGTATGAACGCTAGGTGTAAGACCAAGCACTAATAAACTTCTAATAAAAGGTTGGATAGATATATTAAGATAATATTGAAGTGGTGTTTACGAACAACAATAATATACAATTACATAAATATATATTTTGAGTTTATCATAGTAGACTTAGGCACAACTATGCTTGGCCGAACGCTCAATCATAGTATTACCACAAGAGGGCGCTCGTCCTACACTAGGATTCTCTCCAAATGAAAGAATCCCATTTTAACTAGGTTCATCAGAAAAACCGAACGGTCAATGACCGTTCAGTAATGAACGTACTCTATCATAGTAAAAATTTCATATTCAGATTTCATTGATATTTAACTCATTTTTCAATACATCATTTTTGAACCTTATAACTTCACATAAAACATCAATTGACATACTTCGTAAAACCTATATCATGTTAATAAATCATACTCCAAAAAATTACTCATATTCACATTCATATACTTCAAACATCTCAACCATCATGCATTATATTCATTCATTCCAATAACGGACGTTCATACAATACAACAACATACAGATTAAATTAAATAAGCTTCCCTTACCTCTAGTGTGAACGTACGTCTTTCAGACTAAAACTCAGTTCGCGGAAATAAGATTTCTTCTACCCTCAACGCTCAACCAAACTCTTCAAACTAAAACAAGTTACAGAAAACCAAGATTGGTTCAGACAAGGTGACCGCATGCAATCAGAGCATGGTTTGCATGTTCATACGAACGAACAGCTAGGGACGAGAAACTTACCAGTTTCAGAATCCGGAACTGTTCGGCTTAAATAGAAGCTTGGGACGCCATAAATGCTCCTACGGTGCCTGAATGATGATCGGAGAAGAGAAAGAGTGAGTTTTCTTAGAGAGAAGATAGATTTTCTAGTAAGAAGGAGGAGAACTGGGAAGTTCAGAGTTTTGGGAAGAAGGTTGCATGCAGAAGAGAGTGGGACGAAAGTTTTCAGAAAAATCATTTTCTTCCCACGTCAAAACGAGCGTCTGCTCTTCTGCTGACACGTGCATCCCACTATCTGATTTCTGATCTTCGTTGCTTGACACCTGACGTCCGTTCAGAGAGGTTTTGGACGTGTTTTTAATGAGCTGACAGGAGGGGTTTGGGTGCGTATTTACGAGGTCTGACATAAACACTCTCCATAAAAGTGAATATATTATATTTTACCAATTTTCATAGAAATATTCTAGCATGCAAGTATCTCCTTAAAGAGATATACAATGGTTATCTTCTAATTTCATTTTACTTTTCACATATAAATATAATTGACCTTATCAACATAGGCTTTGTTCAAGTGTTACTTCTTTAAATAATGAATTAACGTATACTTTATAATTTTTTTCTAAAAAGAGATACTTCCAAGAAAGAAATTCCATTTCTTACTCTTATTTTCCAGGAAATACTATTATCAAACCAATTTCTATTTTTTCCCAATCTACAAATTCTCGGTGCTATGCATATAATTTTATTTTATAAATACTTTTAATAAATTATATGGGAATCTATTAATTATAAATTATACTATGCAAGATTTTTCGTCGAAACTGTGAATGGTTTAATATGTTAATGACATAAGTTGAACCTAATATTAAAAAAAACACTCAATTCATATAATTGATAAAATTCAACGTACCTAAAAAGTTATTCATCTTATCAATTTATGGTAAGTGTTCAATGACATTATTTTTAGATTTATAAAGTGTTCAACTACTAATATCTTATTCACATCCCTCACAAAAGCTTTCTAACATTCCAGGTTACATACTTCTTTATTAAGTCATGCCATTTAAAAACTCCATAACAACATCTCTAGTCACAGTTTATTTAATTTGCGTTTAATCAATTTAATAGTAAGAGTTAAATTGCATCAATTTTTCTAAATCATGATTGAGATAAAAAAAATAGTGAAATTGATTTGTAATTTCGAATAAAAAACAAAATCATTGAAATGATTAAACCTAATTTAAAAAACATGTCCACATGTTAAGCAAGTATGTGTTACATGACAATAATAGTTTTATATGTCAATATCACGTGTCTTATATTTAATTTGGTCTTTATATTTATTATTTTTGTTCAATTTAATCATAATTTCTTTTCAAAAAAATAAAACAATTTTATCTTTCTATGAATTGACATTAAATTTAACACTTGACACTACTAGTATCACGTGACACAAATTGTCTTAACATGTAAATATTTTTTAATTAAAAATAATTAAAAAACACAAAATGTATTGTTTATTGTTCCTTAATTATTTAAATGATATTAACAAAAATGCCTAAATTGATGAAAATTAAAACTTTATTATAAAAAATTATTAAAACTGAATTAACAAAACCGAAAATAAAACTAAATTAGTATTTTAGCCAAAATTTAACTTATTTTCATTTAAAAGATCCAAATATAAAACTTTATTAGATAAAAAAAAAAACATTCTCACTTAAACTGTAAGGCATTAAATACTAACAATAAGTTTATGATCGACTTCGAAGATTAATCTAGAGCCTATATCACCCTATTAACTCTCTTTAGGCATTTTAAATACTAAATTTGTGCTATCCAATATTTATAACTCAGTGTCTTCATCGTGATATTAATAATTTCATACCCTTGCGTTTTTTTAACATACAATCACATATGCAAGTTTTATCAAACACCAAAGTAGTTACTAAAAATAACTTGAATTTAAAATGAAACTCTAAACACATAATCAAAATTCTTTAATAGGTTAAACTGTATTTGAACATAATGAATGAGATAAAATATTAAAATATCGTGATAGTATGGTTTTCAAATTTCGAAATACCGAAATAAAAACCATGTCCTCTTCAAACTCCCGCTCCTTCTTCTCTCTCACTGTTGCCATCACTTTCTCTCACTGTTGCCAATTAAGAGAGAGAAAAAGGGTTCCTCTATCGCCCCCCATCCCATCCAGATCTTCCATGCTACCCTTTTTCCATTCCTCTTAGGTAAGCTTCCTCAATTCACTTCCAACTCTCTTCACTCTTTTTTTCTCCATTTTATCTACACACACCTTTCTTTTTTTCACTTTCTCAATGTTTCATTTAGTTTCTATCTAATGCTAGATTAAAAAAGTAATTTTTTTAATGCAAATCTGAGAACCTTCGTTAATTGGCATCTGGGTATTCTTCTTCTGCATTCCCATATGCTACATTGGAATCTTGATTTGTTGACATGCTGTATTGTTCTTTATAGTTAGCGCTTCGTTCAAAGAAAGAAAGATTGTTTGGATGTTTGACTTCCCTGTTGCCGATTGTTAATCTGACAGCTAAAGTTGTAAAATTCACCGTTCAATCAGTGTTTCCTTGTCTTGAGTTTTCTTGATGTTTCTTTTCCTCGTTCTTTGGTCATAGGATATATGAAATTTGAGGGAGATTGTTGTTTGTGGTTTGTGGACTTTTCTAATACTTGTGCATGTCAAGTTCGTGTTTTTTTTGTTTACTAAAACTGAAAAAACAATGTTTTGTGGCAGTGTTGTGTGTTTGTTATAGTAACTGGGCCAGATGAGATGGTGTGGTTCATGTAACCAACCACAGATAAAGGTTTTTTGTTGCTGTTGTGTGTAGTTTTCATAACCAAAGAGGCATAATGTGGTGTGATCTATGTGGTCAATTTCGAGATAAAACTTTTGTTGTTGTTGTTGTGTATTTTTTTTCTCATTCAAGCCGAATGACAGTCTGATATATGCGGCCAATTTTAACTACATCATTTTGATTTTGAAAGATTGTGTTGATTCCGTGCACAGGTTGACAACTATCTGTTTGATTCTCCATTCTTATTATCAGCTATGGATGCTCTCCCTGATGCCATTCTCCAATGCATCTTGTCCCAGATCACCAATGCTCGTGACGTTTCATCATGCAATTGTGTTTCCAAGCGATGGAAGGACTCCACCCCCTATGTCAGAACCCTCTATTTTCCTCGCAGTTCATTTGACTCCCCGTCGTCTTCTGAGGGTGCTGACAACGTCATAGAAAGAATGGTGTCAAGAGTAGTGAAGTTAGAGGAGCTAATTGTATATTGCCCCTTTTCCCCTAATGGCCTTGCATCATGGCTGTCACTGGTGGGGGATTCTCTACTTCAGCTTGAGCTCCGAATGGATAACCTTAATGACAACCAAGGCTCCGAGAGCCCTTCCAAATTGGACTATGTTGGTTTTGCTAAGAATTTGGAGTCTCTGAAACTGTGGGGAGTGTTGATGGTGCGTACACCCAACTGGGATGTGTTTCCAAACCTCAAGAACCTTGAAATTGTTGGTGCGAAATTTGAGGATCATGTGTTGAGTGCGGTGCTTCACACTTGTCCTGTTCTCACTAGATTGTTGCTGCTTGGATGTGAAGGGGTTAGATCGTTATCTATCGAATTGCCATGTTTGGAGCAGTGTAAGCTGGATTTTTATGGGATGGGAAACTCTTCTCTCACTCTGACTTCACCCAAAATAGAGTCCCTTGAGGTACAAGGCTGTAGCTGGATTAGAGTTCCTAAAACCAAGCATTTGAGGAAACTTTCGGTATCCAACACTGCAGGTAGTTAACTCGTTGTTGTTGTTACTGTGTTTGTATGTTTGTTGTTGACTGTTGTCTCAATTATATGATATGAAACCAATTTTGTCTCTACTTATGTTCTTGGATTGTTTGTTCATTAAGCAAAACGTAGATAGTTTTTTTCTAACTAGAATTAGTTTGTCTTTGATAACCTATACTGATCTTCTATGCAAAATTTCATTACTTGAAAAACTATATTATTGTGGTGAAATTCTAATTTTGAGAATATACCAAAAGCATTTATATTTTTTCCCCTTTTGTCAGTTTAACTAACCTTCTTTGAATTTATATGCTTTCAGGGAGAGTATACATGGTTGATTTTGGAAACCTTTCAGCTCTGGAGTTCCTGTGTATGAGGGGAGTTCAGTGGTGCTGGGATGCCATATGCAAAATGTTGAAATTGGCAAGTGAGGTGAAACACCTCTTTATGAAGGTTGAATTCACTGGGGACTATGATGCACTTCAACCCTTTCCAGAAATTGATTTTGTTGACTTCTTCAACAGTCATCAAAAGCTGCAAAAGTTTGATATCCATGGAGCCATGTTTGCAGCACTATGCCAGAAGAACAGTCTGAAACATGTAAGTTCATAATATAATTACCCTTCTGATTAAGGGTTCTTGTTCTATATTTCAATTCATCTAATGGGGATATTTCACAGGTGGATTCAGGGTTTGTGATTCCATTTCTGGAGGAGGTTGTGATCACAGTGAGGTCACCTCTCAATGCTGAACAGAAAATGAGTACACTGGAATCATTGCTGAAGTACGGGAAAAGTCTTAGGAGCATGGTTATAAAGATTCTGGAGATGAAAAGCTGCCATAGCAGTGCTGATGATTTTTTTGACGAGATTTGCAGGTTCAGATACATGAACCATAGCATAGTTAGAATAGAATAAAGCTCACGAAGAGGCTATTATTATTTCTTGATGCATTCATAATTTAAGACGATTTTCTTCTGAACTAATTTACATGGTTAACATTTTTTTTTCCTGGTTTACAATTTGAAATTGACTCTTGGTTTAGTAAATTTGGAGAATAAATTTAGCATCCCTTCCATGATTCTGGAAAATTGCAGATGCTTTGAAGATCCTTATGTTTCCTTTTCCTGTTTAAAGGATTATTACTCATTATTACATTACACCATTTTCAATTTTATTATTCTTTTTCAGAGAAAAAAACGTGCATTGATAATTTGTGTATATATTTTGCAGTCAATCTAATCAAAGTTATCATAAATATGATTTATTAACTATGATAATAATCACCTTGGAAATTATACTATCATTAGATTTTAGCTACTTGATAATATTAAGTCTAGTACATTTACATTATAAATTGATTAAACTCTAGTTTTTATGTATTATTTTTTAATTACATTTAGATCCTTCAAGTCCTTATCATTTTATTCTACACTTATTTGGCCTTTTTTTTTTTAGTTCTAGAAGTATTGGATAAACCTTCCTAAAAAGGTTCTACAGTAATGAGATGCAAGACCAATTTTCCACAATAATGAAAAATTAAGGTATCTTATCGTGCATATTGCTTTCATAACCTAAGTCAAATCTGTCAGTAGGAATTGTATTATATTTTAACAACTTAATAATATTTTTTTAGTTCTAGCCACAAATTTTGCTAGCACTCTCTTCAAAGTCACGACCTTTTCATAGAGCTTTAAAACATTCATTGGTTGATTCAAGAGTTTGTCATTTTTCGAAACCTTTTCATTGAGGATTTTTATCTTTTTCTTAAAAACCCGCGCTCCTATGAGAGCATCTTCTTTATTTTCTAGAGTTGATATTCTCTTGTTGCACACATTTTCTTAAAAACTCGCGCTCAAATGTCTACTTTGTTGAGTGTCTAGTTAATAGTTTCCTATTACAGCACAAAAGAAGATGGAGTGCGATCAAGATTTAACATTTTATTAATTTTTTACGTGTTCGACTCTTTAGTTGTGTAATTGCACGAGTAAAAATAGTTGATATTAAATGCACAAATAAGATACTTTTGAGTTTTAACACTAGATTTTTTAGGTATTTTAAACTCTTTCATTCAAGCATTCAATTCAATGTTTAATATAATATGATAGCTCAACTTTGATTCATTTTCATATAAGATTGGATATGGAGTGGATATTTGAATATCAATCTAGAACTAATAAAATAAATTAAATTTATAATATCTAGTTAAAATAGATTTGGATTAAGATTTATATCTATTTTAATTATATCAATTAGATTTGGATTTTTTTAATCTAATTTAAATTGGATAAAAACTAGATTGAATTCACTATCATTGAAATTAATTTCAGTAAGATCGATTTAATATACTTGACTATTATATTCATGAATATAGGTTGGGTTGACTTGACTCAACTTGATTATCAGTAAATCTTTGATTGGGGTTAACTCGAGTTGACTTTCGACTAAGATCTACTCTTGTGGACCTTCAATTAAAGTTGACCTTAGATCAAAATTGATTTGACTGACTCTCAAATGAACCGACTTTGTCAACTTCAGTCAAACACACTCCATCGACTATTGCCCAGATCGAATTAGTCAATCTTTAGTCAAGCAGACTCGATCAAAATTTTGCTAATTTTGACTGGATTGACTCAATCGACCTTTAACTCAGACCAACCCGGTCAAAATTATGATGAATTTTGACTAAGATTGATTCCACTAACCTTCAACTCAAGCTAACTCAACCAACCTTTGATTGAAATAGATAAATTCAACTTTCATTCGAGATTGACTTGATCAATCTTCAACCAAAGACTACTCAAATCATTCTTCAATCGGAACAATTAATCAAGGCGGTTAATGATTTTGATTGGATTAAATGTAGAATATAAATGTTAGTGTTATAAATAAAGTGATCATACTCTTTAATGTTTCACTTAAATATATAAAGAGTAGTTTATCAAAAGTTATAAGTGTCTGGACAATGGATAAGTGGTGCAATGGTCAATTATGGATTGTCTAGTTCTGACAATTACTATAAGCTTATCAATGGTTAATTAAGTTGGAGAACTATCTTCACGGCGGTCAAATGTTTTTGTTGGAAAAATTATGATTTCCCCATTGAAAAAAATTACCTTATTTTTTTCAACCTTGTGTCATTTCAATAGTTAAAATAAATTGTATAATGATATTAATAAACAAACTTTCAATAACGGTTTTACACAGAATATGTATAAAACATGCAAATAAAACTAGAAAAAAAAAAAGGCCAAAGATGTAGTAGAAGAGATGAATTTATCCTTTTAACAATTGTCTAATTAAAAAAGAAACAATAAAATATAAAACATATAGATAGGTATTTGTGGATGAGTTGATCATATGACATCTTTCTTGACATTTAAATGATTAAAGATTTCTGAAATTTGGATTTGTTATAAAATTGAATTGTAGGATACTTTTACGTGTATTTTCAATTCATTTTGAATAAAAATGAATTGTGCTATTATTAATATCAATGTTAGATTATTAGCTTTATTCTATTCGTTTTTGCATATTAAAAGAATAAAATATTTAATATCAAATCCTAATAGAGTTGTAAGAAAATATGTATTATTATGGTTTTCATCTCCAAACCATTTTTAAAATTTATATTTAGTTCCTAAACTAAATATATATCTATTTTAACTTTATATTTTATGAAAGTCACAAAATATTCACTCTAATAAACGATACGTAGAGTACTTACTATGTAACAAATAAAATTTCACAATAAGTTATAATATAATTTTGTGTTCTTTTACATGAACTTTTTCAAGGAGGATGAAATATATATACTAAAAATACAAACACGATTTTTAAAATAGTTTGAAAACTTAAAAATATATCTAACCCTTAATAATAACATGTTTCGTTATCATAAACCTAAATAAACCCTCCAACGAATTTCTAATGGTAATCTAACGTTGGATTTGATCCAAGACAGTGGAAAACATAATCTATTTAACAGAAATTCTGTGTTCAATATCTGTTGCGACTTAATTCATTGGAGCATGAGCAGTATCTGATTAAATGAACCGAAAGAATTTCATGACAAGACAAAAAAAACAATGATAATGAATGATATATATCTTGAGGCATATAAATATTTATAATTTACTCTCCTCTAAACCATTTTATTTCCTACCAAACAAACTTAATAATATTATCACTAAATTAAACCAAAAGGCCTTTATATCCTCAACAGCAGTAGCAATTGAAACAGTCAAGCTTCAACACAATACTCCTTACTGATCTTATCCTACCCAGTAATTCCCTGCACAAAGATGGTGACTAACAAGAAATAGATGTGATAGCCCACCTCATACTACCTTAGTATCATTCATTAAAATTCTTCTCTTATCTGCCGGTTTTCATATCCCAATCATACAAGACAATTCATTGTAATAAAATTTAGAAAAGTAAAAAACTCTACTTATGGTATCAAAAATTTCTGTCTAAGACTTGAAGTAGTGTCATAAAAAAAAATTTAAGTATTAAAATGTTCTTTGTATCACTAATAAAATTAAACTAACAATAGCATAATCTATATAAGCTTCTTCTTCTGGAAGAACCGCTTCAGATACCACAATTGCAAACCTGAAACAGTAATGCAGATACCCAAGGACATAATGCTAAACCATGCCACCCTAGCATTTGTTTTTTCACTCACAATCCTCATCTCAGCTTCCCTGAACAAATAACCCGAAAGAAAAATCATATACATGAAAAGTTTAGAAAGGAAATTGCAATAAACTCTTCATAGGGGGTTATGTTGATGTGATTGGAATTACCTGCCCTTGAGATAAAGCAAATTCTCATGTATGGCCTCCACTGCTCCTTCTAGCTTTCTCAGCTCAAGCTCAACTCCCTAGGCGTCAATCACATGATACATAAATTAGAAAAGAGAAGCATTCAAGAGCGATTTCAATTCAGATTTGGATCCTCTCGTGTTCTTATGTTTTGAGAGAGAAAGATACAAAAACAACAATAGTGAACTCAGCGTTGTTTGTGTGGGGCCCATTACACATTCTTTAATGTGTTTTCTTCTCGTAACTTGGGCGTAACATGACAGGATCCAAATCTTTTCAATTCATATGCAATTACTAAATGCTTTCAGCTAAACGTATTTAAAAACAGTGGCTTGACAGATTTCTTATTATAACTAAATGTCAACCAACAATTAAGTTCTATCTACGGGATACTCCTAGTGGATTAGGCTTTGTTTTTGTACTAGATATTCATATCATAGGGAAATTAAAAAAAATTATGCATATCCCTTGGACATTTACCTCAATCTTCTCTTTTCTAGCAACCGAATCCCAGTCCTTGGCTGCAATCCCAATTTTCCAATCAAGGTTTACATTAACCTCACCACCTCCTTGACTATGGCTATCCACCCAGAAGCATGCCAGGTAGTTTCCAGCCTCTTGAGTAGTAAATGCGATATTACCATGAGTTGTGTTCTCACTGTGATGAAGATTGTTTCCATATGGTGATGTTACCTAAAGAAAACATATTACTATTAGAAACCATGAGAGAAGTAATAGACCTTTTTAACAAGCTGAAAAATTAGAAGGTTGTCATTCAAGAGCCAACCAGAATTACATCTTGAAAACACAGACACAAACAACACTAAACAACAGAAATTAAACTACTATTACTTGGTAGAACTGCAGAATGTTTCGAAGTAAACGTTTTTCATAATTATTCAACCTTATTTCTGTTCAGACGAGGAATTTTTTATGTGAATTTATGTAGCTAGGGTATCTAACAGAACACAAACCGACAAATTGGTGTTTTTTTTATTACAGAATCACAAAATTCACACAATGCAGCAAAGGGTGTCTTATGACTCCTTTAGTGATTATTCTCTGTCCAAACGTAAATTACGACACACGTAACTCCCTACTGTACCACACTACATACTTCCAACATAACAGCTATCATTATACTTATATCTATTGATACACCTCGTGACAGATATTATCAGTTCCAAACAGCATTAAAGTTTCAAACTCTGCTATCATCTTTCATCTTGCCAACCACTCGGCATAGCAAGAATACTACTCTATGAACCATGTCGGAAG